TTAATTAGTCCCTTCCCCACTCCCATTCCTCCAAGAGCAACCTGCATTATTTTTATTGTTTCAAGTGGCTATAGTGCTAAGCAGGAAAAGGCTGGATGGTGTGATGGACTACAAGGCTGGGAGCAAGAATTCCCAAATTCTAATTCTGGCCCTGATAGCACGTCATTTTGGGGACAAAGGCAAATTGTGTGATTACATTGATGCCAAGATCATCCCTCAATTGGCCCCAGACACATCAGCTGTGGAGGGCTAGTGGGTACAGGCCTGAGGTCAACCCTGTCTGGGTGGATGTAGCCTTTGGGCCTGCTTCCAGCATTTTCCTTTCCACCGAGTTATTACTTATTTACTATTTGCATTTTAATAGAATATACAGGCCCCAGCTAAGCTCTAAACTGCCAGCAAGTAGTGAGCAAGGGTTTCTTCGGTGGGCATCTACTGCTCTAATAGACTCACAGGGAGAAAGGGAGCAAAACCAAAGTGACTTACCAACAGTTCCCCAGCACGTAAGAAGGGGGACTGGGAACCAATCCCAGATCTCACTAGTCCCAGACCAGTGCCCTGCCTGCAGGTCTCAAAGCCTCTCACCTGCATGGAAGAACTGGATGAAAAGGTGGCAGAATCTAGACCTTTTAGTCTCCATACCTCAATGTTCCCATCTGTAAAGCTGAGCTCAAACCCACTCCCTGCCAGAAGAGGCTGTGAATATAAGCTAGATAAAGTTTGTGCAATGCTGAAGAAATATGAAGTGCTCTAGAAGTGTTGAGTGCAGCTGATAAAAGGGAGATACCCACACACAAAGGAGGAAACAACCCTTAGGACAGAAGGAAGCTTTCAGGGCAGAAACAAACAGGATTATTAAACACTTTCTCGGCTTCTCCAGCAATGGCTCCTTTAAGATACTGGCTAAGCAAGCTATTCTTTGCAGCTACAGGTAAGCAACTTTTTAAAATATTGATCAGGTAAAAGCAATGCGGGATTTTTCCCCCGTGCACAGTAACTAACTTCTTTGCAGTTGTCAGTCGGTGGGCTGTGATGTGCAGTTCAAACAGGAGAACTGAGAGAGAGCGCGAGGTTTCACCAGGACTCTGCCTACTCCTTGCACTTAGACACAGGCACATACACTGACACACAAGGATCCCAGGATGTGACTGGCTTGGAAAATAAGGTCCTTTTCGAGGACATTTTCCAAACAAAATAGCAAAAATTACGTTAAAGAAAAAAAAAAAGCATGGAAGTCAGTATCTGAGCACGTTTCCATGGCTGGGAATTGGTCTTCCTATTACCCAATTTATTGTGCCATTAAGCAGATTTGGGGAAAGAAGGAAAGAGTTTATGGAACACTTGAAATCTGCATTAAAGAGGAATTTTCAGCTGGAATGTTATAAAGCCCTTAAGAGGCGGTGGTGTTTTGTTCTCTACCCTGCCAACAGGCTCAGACAAAAGCCAGTTAGAGCATGAATGGGCTGTGATTGTTATTTCAGTGACGAAGGAGTCCTTCCAAGGATAGAAAGTAAGACTTTAAACTTGTCCCCCATCAACGCAGCATACTGCAGTGCAAGCAGATATAAACTAGGACATCACTGTCCCATTCTCCCCACCAACCCCTCCAAAACCACCAGTGTTGAATAAGCTTGTGTTAGAGCGTGCCAGTGTGAAAAAGCAGGGCCCCCATTAGTCACATACTCGGGTCACTGGAAAGGCTGCTATTGTTTTCAGTGGGCTTTGGATCAAATAGAGAGTAGAAATGTCTTTGTCATTGCTATGTGCCATACCACCAAGAAAGACAAATTAAGGCAGAAAATAAACTACTTGGGAAGGACTGAAATCTGGAACCATTATAAGAGTTTGTGGGAAATTTTCTGACCAACTATATATCTATGTATACATAAACGACGCGTGCCCCCGGAGGCTGGGGGGGCACGGTGACTGCCCGCAGGCAGCGATGACAGTGGCAGCAGCAAGCGGGGAGCTCCGGCAGGCAGCCATAGCGGTGTTGGCACAGTGGCGTGGAGGGGGTGGCGAGCGCCGACTGCACACCTGTGCCACCGGCAGCGTCCAAACACAGGGGGTGCCCGTGCACCCCCTACACGTCACCAATGTAGGGATAGATAGATAGATATTTTATGAACAAATGCTTTTTGTCTAAACAGGAACTTTTACGACACATTTCAGCTTTCAACAAATTACTTTAGGGGTTTTTTTGTATTTTGCATCAAAAAACTATTTTTGCTAAGAGCAACTCTGATTTTAAAAAAATGCTTTCATCTAAATATTTTTCCACAGAAAAAAATAATTTCCCTGACAGTTCTGATCATCATTTAACAACCTCATTGACATTAATTCCCCCAAACCCTCATTAATCTTCTTCCTCTCCACCCAAGAGCAGTGTACGGAGGCTGCAGTGTGATGAAGACTCTGCCTGCTCAGATGGAGAACTCGCTTTGGGTCACAAGGGAAACAGTCTAGCCCTCCCAGGGTCAGCCGCTGGAAATCCCCACCTCATTTGGCAGAGTCTACCGGCACGGGCATTTCTCTTCAGGAACATCTCAGGATTGCAACGGCAAGGTCAAGATGGAGCTGGCTGGCAAAGCTGGGCTGTGTGGAAACTTAGACAAGATCAGTAAGCCTCACACCTGGCACTAGCTGTTGTTAAAAGCCCCACCAGTTGATTATTAGCAGTAATTGAGTTGGTCTAATAAAAGAGATCACATTTCCCAAAAAACCTTGATTAGCATTAAATGCATTCACAAGGAAAACTACCAACCACCCCTTCCTATAGAGCTGTTGACTCTTCTGCTTCCACATTCCCTTTTCTTTCAGTAATGATGTATTCCCCCAGCAGCTAAATGCCATTGCCTCCGGCAAGGGTGTCCCTTTCACATGAGGGACCGCACTGCTAAATCGCCCTCAGCTATATGGAAACCAGCCTGCTGCTGGGTCTGCCTAGCTTCTTTCATATTCATTCCATCATCATCTTTGATGTGCAGCTATGTACTTCTCAAGGACCAGGAAGGACTGAGCTCAGTCTATGGGAGAAGAGGGACAGTGGTGATCAGCAGTGGACGTAGATAGGTAATGATCCTAACTGTGCAAAACCTCAGCATGCTGAAGCACTCTGTAAGAAAGCTGCTTTGGATCAGCTGCTGCTGTGACGTGGGTTCCCAATGACTGCTATGACAGGCTAAATCCAACCCCATCCCTTACTTCAGCCGGGCACATACCCCTGGAACAGCACGTTCTGGGCTTCTGCTCTTTCTTGCAGGTAAACTGAGTGAGGGGATGAATTCTGCTTGAAAATTGGAGGATTGGGACAAAAGAAATCTCATGAGGTTCAACAAGGTCTTGCACTTAGGATGGAAGAATCCCATGCAGGCTTGGGACAAACTGGCTAAGCAGCTGCTCTGCAGAAAAAGACCTGGGGGGGACAGGGGACAAGAAGTTGAACAGGAGCCAGCAGTGTGCCCATGTTGCCAAGAAGGCTAATGGCATCCTGGGCTGCATTGGTAGGAGTGTTGCCAGCAGATGGAGGGCAGTGATTCTTCCCCTCTTTTCAGCACTGGGGAGGCCACATCTGGAGTCCTGTGTCCAGCTGTGCGCCCCCCGCTACAAAAAGGGTGTGGACACATTGGAGAGAGTCCAGTGGAGGGCAACAAAAATGGTTGGGGGGCTGTGAGATATGACTTGTGAGGAGAGGCTGAGGGAACTGGGCTGATTTAGTCTGCAGAAGAGAAGACCGAGGGGGATTGAATAGCAGCCTTCACCTCCCTGCAGGGGGGCTGCACAAAGGATGGAGCTGAGCTGGTCTCAGTGGGGGCAGATGGCAGGACAAGGAGCAATGGGCTTAAGTGGCAGCAAAGGAAGTTGAGGTTGGATATTAGGAAAAACTCTCTCACGGGGAGGGTAGTAAAACACTGGAGCAAGTTCCCCAAAAAGGTGGGGGAAGCTCCATCCTTAAAGGTTTTTAAGACCTGGGTGGACAAAGCCTCGGCTGGGATGATGTAGTTGGGGCTGGTCCTGCTTGGAGGAGGGGCCTGAACTAGATGTGACCTCTTGAGGTCCCTTCAACCCTCATTTTCTATGATTTTATGAAAATCTCTGACCTGGTATTATATTTTCAAATTCAGTATCAAGCCAGAATTAACCTTTTCCTGTCTCTGATCATTAGTGGATCAGAGGCTGAAGGCTGGGCTTAACAAAATAACTATCCATGTTTATTTGCTGCAGAAGCCCAGGGAAGCCCTGAAGAATCATTCCTTTTCATGGCTTATCAATGCGTATATGGAGACTGACTTAGGGTTAATTTTTTGATTCTGAACCCAGCAAGATACAAGAGGAAGGAAAGGCTGGTGTTCTGCGAAGCTCTCTAAAGCCGGTATGTGGCCAGGCAGCATGAACAGGAAAGAAGAACCACACGGCTCTTGTACTGCCCAAAGCTGCCAAATCTTTCCCATTTCAGATGGGACTTGGCTTAGTGCGTGTAGTAGGGAGAGGCTTTCAGTGTTGCTCTGCAAAAGAAAAATGAAGTCCTTTAAACTGGATAGTCACAGCCTCAGGGCACTTTTGTTTTCATTTTCCTTATTATTTTGCGGTGCAGGGGGAGCTGGGGGGGGCAGATTTCCCTTTGCTGACTCATTTGTATGTTATAAAATGTCTTCAAACTGAACCAACCAACAGCCAAGGCCACCACAGACCAGTGTGCCAGAGCGTGAGTAAATAAAAGCACGTATAATACTCATTCTATGCATCAGGATCCAGTTCTGTAATGGTCTTTAGGTACTGAAAGATGCAGGTAGGAGCCTAAGGAGATTTAACCTGGCCTAAGCTAGAGGGACATCTAATTTCTGTTGAACCATGAGCACTTAAGTGCACTGTGTAAATCCTCTCTACCTGCATTTTTCATACCTAAATAGCTTAGTAAAACTGGCCCAAGGTCTCCTACTCCTCAGAGTGCTCGTGTTGTTTGATGTCAGTGTTTTGGTTCAAAGTCCCTTGTAAGAGCACAAATCAGAGCCAGATCCTCGGAGCTCCTCAAGGTGTGGGCCAGGCAGGGAAGGTAAGAGGCTTTTTGCAATCCTTTGATTCTCCCAATCCAGGAACTGCAATTTAAAGCAGCCCAGCTGCTCTGATTTGTGCTCTCAGCAGTTCACTAGCCCAGGACTGCTGCAGGGCTCCCTGAAGTTTGTTCCTTTTAAAATCAGCCGTCCAGCCTCTTTACCCTGCTGGGGCAGCTCACAAGTTTTGGGGGTGGATGGCAGGATCACATAGCCCTTGTAGCTCTGAAACGAAAAGATCATACCATGCATATTTAAGAGGCCCACCTGACTACTGCACACTCCTTTATTTTACCCTGAGACACATTTAAACTTCAGAGACTCAAATGAAGATGCCGCTGAATTTTTCATGGAGGGGCCAGAACTGGCTTGTCGCTGATGGCTGATAGTGTGAGAGGAGCATTTGATCACAGTCCTAATCAGACTGAGCAGCTCCACTGGAAACACAGAAGTTTCTTTCCTTTTCATTTCTTTTTTTTTTTTTGTGAAGAACACAGCTGTGTTTTCCTAGGTGCATCTATAACTGAAATGCAAAACTAAGTGGACCAAATGTTTGCACCTCTGAATGACTTCAGTGTGATCCCAGGAAGACTGGCGGAATCCTAATCCAAACTAGGGCAGCTCTGGAGACCATTTAGCAAATAATTAATTAGACTGTCCGTGACATGCACATGCCTCCCTCCCATCTCAAATACCACAACACTTCTCCGCTGCATTCAGGAAATTCTGCAAGCAATGGAAAATATTTGTGTAATGGTGGGCTTACAGAGTAGGCTTTTGGTGTGCTGAGTCACTATGTTCACAAAGGAAAAAAGGACAAAGGGTGTTAAACATAGATGTTCTACTTGGAATCTGCTGAAGGACAGGCATGTATTTAGAGAGAATATAAGCAGTTCTTATGAAAATGCCCTTATTGGTGAGCTATGAGATAATTTTTCAGCTCCCCAAGGACAGCCTTCAAATAGCTTTGCATGTTTTCTCTGTGCAAATATTCCCACATATAGTTGCTAAAAGGTTTAAAGGATTCCTGTGTCCTTCAAGGAAAGTTTTGAAGAAACAGGAACTTGTTGCCTGACAGTCAAGAAGTACTTCTAAGTACAAAGGCAGTCATGGAAGGTGGCTGAAAGATGAGAAAAATAGAGAACGATGCTGGGACAGAGGCCAGGGTGGAACAAATGCAGAGAGAGGAGAATTAAGAAGGAAAAGCAAACTGCTCAGTTCATTTCAAAGCCAAGGACATTCCTTCTTCTGTGGTAGGTGAGGAGCCCATATGTGTATGTGTGTGTGTAAATACACATTATATATGTTGTGTGAGAAATGGACTGTCACATTTCAGAAGGAAATTTCATTCTGAAGTGCCACAAAATTTGGAAAGGTAAAATGTTCTGCAGGACAGGGAAGACATTTTCCAAATAAAACAGTTTTAGAAGCAAACAAGCAGGAAGGAGAAAGAATGGCTCAAAACTCAGCACTTCTTTGCAAACACTGGAGAGTTAAGAGACAATACCTGACCTGATCAGTCTGAAAGTTTTAGTTCCTCCCCACTCAACCTGCAAAGAGTTTTGTCCACAATGGTAAACCCCCTGCCCGCCCTGCAAACACAGAACATGGGAAGGCTGGGAGTTAAAAGAGTGTCTTCACTCGAACAATCTTACTTGAGAAAGGGGGGTAATTGTTTAGACAGAGTTAGGCATTTCTGGAGTGGCTGAAGAAGTTGGACCTGCTCCACCTGGGTAGAACAAGCTAGTAAGTAAGAGAGACACCAGCATGGGGTGTCATTTTAAAGCTCCTGTTGCTTGCTTTTAAACTAAATACTTTGGTTTAAGAACACTGGCTGCTGCACGTGCCACTTATCACAGACTCCCAAAGGCACTGATAAAAAACCACAGCGCCAAAACTTAGTTGGACCTGCTGAGTAAGCATGGTTGATACACAGGGATGAGAGCTGAAGGTGGGGAAGTGAGGACTTTCACCAAGCAAAGGTAAAGGCATGAAGCCTCACACCTATGAGCATGCACTCGGGAAGGCAGGCAGGGAACCAAGATGCAGCTGGCCCATTTAGCTATGATATCCCGTCCTGCTCAATATATAAGGGCTGCTCACAGCTATGGACAGAAGGCCACACAAAGATCCCCTACCTGTCCCCTCATAATGAGCATGTGACTCAGCCGGCATCCACAACAAAACACCGACACTGCTGCTTGTGATCACGAATGGAGAAGTGGGTTGGGCCAAATCCTGAGATCTTGAGAAATAGAAAAGGCCTTAGGAATAGGCCTAAGATCATATGGGGCATCTACCTGTTCAATTAATGCACTTAAGATAATATGCATTAAATCTAGTACCTCCACTGTGAGGTACTAGGAAAATGCGCATTAGTCTGTCTTAATGCATGTTAACTAAAGAGCACGGTTTTTAAGTGACACAATGCACATGCACCTATTTTAATGCACATTAACTAAATGGCACATTTTTCAGTGATGCTTTAATGCACATCAAAATAGGCTAATGCACATTAAAGTGCATGTGAAGACTTGCCCACTGTTATTATCATGATTAACTGGATTTCTAATATACTTGCACCCAGCTTCCATACTACAGGAAGTATTTACCAGCTCCTGTTGTCTCCTTTTAGCTCAATGTAGTTGCAGTTCTCATACCCAACATTTCAGTTTCACCAAGATGTTTTACGTTGCAAAACAAGTGTGTGTGCAGGTGCATTCTTAAGCACATGCCTTGAATGGTATTTCATTTACCAGGCAGAAAGGAGAAACCCAAGAGAGGGATTTCTTTCTTTACAAAAAGGAACTTATCCATAATCTTAATTGTGGGCAGACTGGAATAGAAAGGATGACAAATAAAAAAAAACACCTACAGAAGTTGGGTAAAAGACAATGTGATCAGGGGGAAGACGGATACAGAAAGCTAAGCTCACAGCAGCAGCTGCGGATCAGACGTTCTCTTTCAGTATAGAGGTCTGCCTTACCTTGAACCTGGCAAGCTGCATGCTTAATGGACCTCCATTGGCAATCTCTCAGTACACCATTCTTTTTTTTACCATTAAACAGCTCTAACTGCTAATAGCATAAAAACATTAAAAAATTCTGAAACATCCTTCATGTGCAATTAATACCAATGGGGACTGAAAGGCTAAGTGAGACTCCTACTCAGAGGAGCTTGAGAGGATTAAGTGAGTCCTGAAAGATGTGTTTGTGTTTCAGAACAGCTCCGAAAGGCTCAGCACTTCTGACCAGTTGAGGAGCGCAGCAGTTTTGTAGGGAAGTGCACGTCAATTATAGCAGGTACTCAGTGGCAAAAAGCTAAATAGTTTTTGAAAGATCTGATTACCACATGCTTCCCTTTTATTAGCCATTCATTTTATCCCTGGATGGAGTCATTGGATGTGCAACTATAATTGAGTTCTGTCCCAGGGGTGAGGTCCATTTGGTGACTTAAGCGCAGTCACTTGTCATGATGGATTTTTCCACAAATGTACGTTTTTCAAGTTTGCATGTCTTTTGTCAATACCTCAGCTCTCCAAGGGACGGCATGTCAACTTCCTACACTCTTACATTTGACTGTTACTGAAAATCCGTCTGCTATGGTTCTCTGAAGCCTACTTGATGGGAAAGGCTTTTTGACAACTCCTGACTCTCCAGAGCTCTTACCTTGATCTTCCTTCTTGAGCCCTTTTATTCAGGGAGGCAGCATTTATACCGTTTTTCTCCCCTCCTAGTCTTCCAGTCTAAATCTGCAGCAAACAGCTGTAAAGGCTACTAACCTTCTCTCCCTGGATTCACTCCTCCCCGTGTTTGAAGGTTTGCATTAAGCTCATGATGAAGAGTGGACTAGTAAATGAAACCTACTCTTGAGAGTGGGAGAGGAAAAAAAACTACAGGAAACACAGTGGTTGGCAGAGCTAACTGCAGATGATCTTGTGTGGCCCATGAGCTTTATTGGATATGTTTTGTGCAAGACAAAACTTTGGATCGGTCTGTCTGTCATATCAAAGGGATGCAGTGCAGCACAGACACCATGTTGCTCCAAAAACCCCTCTAGAGGGTGAGAAAGAGAAAACAGAGGAGGGCACTGGCGACACGTAGGGGGTGCACATGGGTGCACATGCCCCCCCTGAGCTTGGTGGTGCCCCCCCCTGCAAAAAGCATTGCCGACACTGCTGGCAGTGTCTGCAGGCAGCCACCACTTGCCACCCCTGCCCCCTCTCAGCTGACACTGCTGAAGGCGTCTACGGGTGGTCCCCAATTGCTGCTGGCGGCATCTGTGGGTGGTCACCGACCGCTGGTCGACACTTGCCACTCCCACCTGCTGCTGGCGCCTTTGCGACTGCCTGCAGGAGCTCACTGCTTGCCGCTGCCACGCTGCCACCGCTGCCACCTGCGGGAGCTCGCCATGCCCCCCCAGCCTCCAGGAGCATGTGGCGTTCATGGAGGAGGGGTTGACTGCCCAAAGAAAGCATTTAGATAGATTCTATCAGAATAAATTCAGGATGCCATGAAATAAGGTCAAGAATCAATTCAAGGAAGAACCAGCTGTCCTAGCCTTTAGATGAGCACCAAACCTTGCTAACCTCATCACCAGAAGAAAACTCCCTGTGACCCAAAGCATACCCAATGGATCCAGGCCACGTCAGGACAAGAAATGCAAAACCTGCCAACACATCTCCACCACCCCCACAATAACCACACCCCACCACAGAACCATCCCCATCCCTGGATCTCACATCTGCACCTCCAGACATGTGATATATCTCATTCAGTGCACCAAATGTCCTGATGGAAATTTGTAGGAGAAACCAAACAACAACTGCACACCAGAATGAATGCACACCGAAAATCCATCAAAGACAAAAATATGCAATTACCTATGGATGCCCACTTCTCATAGGACAGCCACTCCCTCTCCAATCTCTCAGTTGTAATCCTCAAAAGGAACTTACAAAACACCTTCTGTAGATGAGCCTACAAACTCCACTTCACGGACTCAATACAGACATTGGATTTATGACACATTACAATCTGCCTGACATCTGATTCACCAGGTACCTGCCTAACCTTATCACTTACACTTTTTTTCCCCTCCCCTCCTTTTCTACCTTTTGTCTTCCTAAGTTCCAGCTATTTACTTTTTCACAGACTGCCTCTTTTCTACCGTGGAGAACTCAGCTAGGGTAGAGTCTCCCTTACTTACCTTTGGCATTATTTCCCCATCATTTCTCCCCCTCCTTTCTCTTCTCTACCCATTGCTTTCCTAGTTTCCACCGATTTACATTCTTACTGACATCCTGCCACACTTCTAGCTTCTTTCATTCCTTGGAGATCTCAGAACAGCACAGCACGAGTGACTGGTGCCTCCCAAGTTGGGGGGGGGGGGGG